GTGAACTTTTGGCGGGACCCAATAATCATAAATTCCGTTTTCGCTACATTCAAGCTTAGCTTATTTGCTAACAACCACTGATGTATATTAGTGAGTTCAGTGTTGATGCTTGGTTCCAAGTCTCCTACATTTTTACCATGAACGCTGATGCTGGTATCATCAGCAAACACTTGTTATATGTTTTGTCTATATACATGATTTGAAAGGATATACCAATATACCATATGGATCAAATGTTTATGTGGGTGAATTGAAATGACCTGGATTGAAATGACTGTGGGTTGAAAAGACTGACATTCTTGCAAACAATCAATCTGTACTCGTCTTTACACAATTATTTCTTTAAGAAAATAATCAAAATTGACAGAGAACTTTATGAAATTAGCGAATAACAAACTAAATTCCAATTTCAAAACCAATATTGGCTTGCCTTGCGATCTATCAAGCACTTCTATATACACTAAGCTTGCATTCTTAGCCAATACCAAACAACATCACAAGGATCTTTGCATAAAATTATTTAATGACATAAAACTAGGTGATACTAATCATAAACTAAGGAATTTATTACCATCAAAACACAGCTACGAATACGACTTAAGAAATAAATGTAACTTTAATTTGCCCTCTGTACATACTGATAGATTTAAGAAATTTTTTGTACCATCTATGATTGTATTTTTTAATCACTAAGCCAATGTGTACACACACATATATATGATATATAATTTTCATATAGATTTTATAGCATTAAGGTACTTGGACTGTTTCAAGGTGGGAAAAAAATCTTCAATTTTTGGTCAATCCCTAACTGCTACTGTAATAGTTAATACGTTTTTGATGGATTTAACTCTATACTTCAGAAACAATACACAAGGGAAACCAAGCAAAAGAATCAGACCGATGTAAGAGTAAAATATTTCACGGGTTTGTGAAAACCCCTGTAATGAAATGCAACGATTTTTATGTCGAAACAATAAAGTTTGCCTCTATTAACTATCTTTCTATTGTCTTGTGTATTTGGGTTTCCCTTGTGTAGTGTTACTAAAGCCGTTCCAGTTGAGTGATAGTGACTAATAGTCACTAAATAAAAACTATTAGGTAGTAACTATTTAGATTTTATTTCATGGACATAGCGTAAGCACTCAATTACAAGTTTCATATTTGCAAAATTCAGACGTGTAGTTTGAAAATAAGACAAAAGGGTTTTTATAATTGGAGCCACCGGAAATGCGCATTTGGACAGTCACGGCTCGCGTGACCAAAAGTAACAATGACTCGTAAAGTTTATTCAAATAGCTTGGACGGGCATTGTTAATGACACAAGAGGAAAAGACAAAGACTTTGGAATACCTTGAGCTCAACAGATGCTGGTGAGATATATGGCTAGTGTTTGACACTATTTTTTCGCCACTTAAAACTTCAGTATCCGAAACAAAACGAATGCATTTTGTTGTATATAAATTGTATCTCATGTGCTGAAATTCTTACAAAAAGCTATGGAGGCGTTCCCGAGGAATATGAATTGACTAAAATATTATAGGTGCGGAGAATGTTGCCATGAAAATGCTCTACATTTGCCGAACTGTAGTTTCAAATAGATATAAGCAAATGCCTCGAAATTCAACACCATAGAAAAGAACATATTTAAAATTTCTCATGCGAAATTCCAGGGCAAAATATTGAACAGATCTTGTTTTAGAGCTCTCTCTGTGAGTGATATGGAATTGAATTTGAAAAATCAACAACCAACTTTGGGGCTTCATAATTCTAAAACGGCTAGATATAGTTCCTTGAAACTCACTCATCAGCAAGGGCATGACTCAAATTACAATATTCTTAAGTTTGGACAAAATCCATGGGGGATTTTTTGAGACCAATCAGAAAAACTGTTTTTCGGGAATTCCCCATAATTTTTGCATAATAAGGACGATCGACATGCCACGCCCAATATTTTAAACTTCAATCAATTGACCAATTCATATTTAAAGATCAAATGGCTACAAAGAGAAGAAGTCTGTTTTAGCGCACTTTGAATGCTACTGGTCGGAACTTTCCGTTACTGATTTTAGCCACCTTAAATGCTTCCTCTTACTCAATAATTATATTTTAATAGTAATATATACCAAACTGCTATTATATGAGACTTGAAATAGTAGTTTAGGCCCCGGTTTAATATGATAAAGTCGGCGTGACAAGTCAACATTCAAATGCCTCATGTTTCACTCTTGGTACAGCGCATGCGTCCAGCCGTTGCTATGGTTGACATCATTTGTTTGGGACGCCATACTGACCTCGGATGTAAGCACATGTTTACGATGTTTTATGATGCAAAACCGATAGTTTTCGTGGTTCAATCGACTTGATATCATGAGGCATGACATAGTTCAATGTCAGAAACAACATGGAGGCGAATTCTTTCGTTTGAATCCAAAATAGAAGAAGCATAGCAACTTTAGTGCATTAAAACACCACTCTCCCTCACGCTTTCTTTGGTAAACTCTTTCGTATTTATCATAGTGCCCTAAAATTTGGAACAAAGCTTAAATAGACCTTAAAGATTAAATCCTAGGCAGCCCAGAACAAAGACCTTTTTTGATAAAATTTTACGACCGAAAACCGTGTCACGGTAGTTATAACTCGGCAAAAATTTTTTTTGCTCCGGGCTGCCTAGGGTTTTTTCTAGATACGATTTATTTTCATACCTGAAGTTTTATATTTCTTATGACATTTTGTTTCGAGAGAGATATTAATAAATTACTGAAAAAAAGCCTTGGGTTGCCTGCGTTTTATTGACACATTAGGTGTGAAATTTGACACCTTTAACATGCAACTTGGAAAGAAATTTATTATGAAGTCACTTCTAGAATATACTGAATACAATTTGAACAAATGTTGTCCAACTGACACCCACTTAAGCCAGTCCAACTAACTTAATTTATTAGTAATATATAAGAATACATATATAATTTTTATATTACATACTTTTAACTCCTACAGAGTTGTTTCTGTGTTTCTACAGGGAAAGAAGTATTCCTAGTTACTGTATTATAAGCAGCATGATAACATCCTTTTATGCAAAGTACAATGGGATCTTTCGTTAAACCTCTACGAGTTGTCTCAGCTATGCACACAACAGGCAACCCTGTTTATGCGTTTTGAACATCTTGTTTTTGCTAGTCCTCCTTTAAATGTAGTTTGCTGTTAAACTCTTTATCACTTGGATGGTTATACGCTTACTCATGTGATACATTCACTGTTAAGAATTAACAAATTTTTATATTTATTTTAATGGAATTTTTTTACTTTTAGGTGTTTGATAATTATGCAGTCACAGTAATGATAGGAGGAGAACCCTATACTTTAGGACTTTTTGACACAGCAGGTAAGATGGAATGGCTTTTGTAATTTATATGATCCAGTACAAAGCAAAAGCTCACTAACATAAATAGAGTAAAAAATATACAAGATAACTAAAAATCTTTTTTTTACTAATACTGGACTTTCACTCTAAGGGGAACGTGAAAGGTATGCTCTAAAAAGGCTTACAGTATTTCAAATATTTCACAATACAAAATGAGGAGCTGTGGAGTTTTATTTATTAATTCCAGGGGATCTGACAAGGTGCGCGAAGCATGATTTCCATGATCAAAAAAGAATCATTCCCATCAACCAACACACGCTTAAGGTGGAACCAAACTAATTCAGAGCAAATTTTGGACATTTTATTCTTGCTCCCTTTGCAAAGCTAGTGCATCAATTTAACTGGATTTTTCATATAATGTGCTTGGATTATCCTAGATTCTAACAGTGTATTATATCTCAAGATTTTTTAAATGTTTAGCCTATTACGGCCGGAAATCAAATAGTGCATTTTTAGTTTTTGGCTTTTTTCTCCTCATCTTCAGGTACGATTTTTCTGAAATTTTCAGAATCTTATCATCTAGCACTATTGCAGCCTGTGTATAAATTTGGATGGAAAGTCTTGGGCAGGAAAAAAGTTATGATGCCACTTGAAAATTTGATCACAAATTTGAAGCATTTAAGACATCGCTCTGTAGAAACATTACCATTGAATGGATGAATTACGGTCTTTTCGCTACCTTGCACTTTCGCTACTGCACATTCACTACTAATAGAAGTCAATTCACTACTTAATAGAAGTCGATTCGCTACCTTGAGGTAGCACAATCCCTACTTTATCTCAAGATGCCTGTAAACCTCCTCTATAACATTTTGCATCGTTTATTATCAGTAATTTATTATGATTTGAATGTTTTTTTAAAGAAAGAAATTTCAAAGCGTGTTTTGGCGTAATGGAGAAGTCGGCCCAATATCCGTCTTGTGATCTGTTGTATCAAACAGGTTTCTTGCTTTTGCTCATTTCTTAGGAAATTTTTTGAAGGATATTTATGTCAAGGAAAAGTTTTAGCTACGAAGCAAGCAATCTAATGGAGTTATTTTAGCTTCGTAGTAAAGTAGCGAACAGACTTATGGCATTGTGTTACAACAAACAAATCGAAAGCTATGAGAAACGAAGCCTTTTTTTGTCTCCGCTTTTGCTTGATGACTAAAAGTATGACTTTAAAATAAAATGGTTTATGTCAAGGAAGAATTTTAGCTACGAAGCAAGCAATCTAATGGAGTTATTTTAGCTTCGTAGTAAAGTAGCGAACAGACTTACGACGTTGTGTTACAACAAACAAATCGAAAGCTATGAGAAACGAGAAAGGAAGCCTTTTTTTGTCTCCGCTTTTGCTTGATGACTAAAAGTATGACTTTAAAATAAAATGGTTTATGTCTAGGAAGAATTTTAGCTACGAAGCAAGCAATCTAATGGAGTTATTTTAGCTTCGTAGTAAAGTAGCGAACGGACTTACGGCGTTGTGTTACAACAAACAAATCGAAAGCTATGAGAAACGAGAAACAAAGCCTTTTTTTGTCTCCGCTTTTGCTTGATGACTAAAAGTATGACTTTAAAATAAAATGGTTTATGTCAAGGAAGAATTTTAGCTACAAAACAAGCAATCTCGTGGAGATTTTTTAGAGTTTTTTAGCTTCGTAGTAAAGTAGCAAATGGACTCCTGGCGAGAGGCGTTGTGTGACAACAAGAAGTGACGTGAATATACTTATCAGAGTTCTAATCTGAGATTTTTCAGTAAATAAACTACACTCATAAGATTTTTTTGGTGAGTGGTAGTTGATATTTATTTCGTGATAAGATTTACCTAGCTCTAAAATAATTTACACAACACCGAGTCCGATTTGTTTGTTAAATGCCACACAACGCCTCACGCCAGGAGTCCATTCGCTACTTTACTACGAAGCTAAAAAACTCTAAAAGATCTCCACTAGATTGCTTGTTTCTTAGCTAAAATTCTTCCTTGACATAAACTCTTTTATTTTGAAGTCAAACTTTTAGTCATCGAGCAAAAGTGGGGATGAAATAAGCCTTCGTTTCTCATAGCTTTCGATTTGTTTGTTGTAACACAACGCCAAGAGTCTGTTCGCTACTTACTACGAAGCAAAAAAAAAACTCCAACTAGATTGCTTGTTTCTTAGCTAAAATTCTTCCTTGACATAAACTCTTTTTTTTTGAAGTCAAACTTTTAGTCATCGAGCAAAAGCGGGGATGAAATGAGCCTTCTTTTCTCATAGTTTTCGATTTGTTTGTTGTCACACAATGTCTTCTTCGTAACTAAAACTTTTTATTTGTCAGAAAAGTTCTTCATTGAACTCAAGATTCTGTTAGTCGTCGTTAACTTGCACGTAAATAAATATCCTCTCTTCGCTAGGTTTAGATTTCTCGATCGACATCTGACCAGAAAATTTATAAGTTTCGATGCCGTAAAACACGATTTAAATTTATCGATATAGACTCAAAATCAATATATATGTAATATATATTCCTGATATTGTGATATTTAACATTTTGAGATAAGGTAGCGAATCGACTTCTATTAGTAGCGAATCGACTTCTATAAAGTAGCGAATCGACCTTTTAGGTAAGTAGCGAAAGTGCAAGGTAGCGAAAAGACCGGATACCAAATGGATTACTTCGAAGTTTTCATATATGTATTTCCAAGCATTGCGGATGAGCCTTACGAAAAATCAGCATCAAATCTTAAAAATACATACTCGATGAGTACATGTGTCTACTGCTGATAGATACACAGCAACATTTTTGAATCATGTATACAGTCCTTTGACTAAACGTTGTCGTTGATCGGATCATCCCTACGCACCTCGACCGAAAAGGATAACGAGTAAATTACCCAGAAGTTGCGTCATCCAAGCTGCTCGCCAGTTTAAATCTTCGTCGTATGCTCGAGGCATGGTTTTAGCAAATTAAATGGGATCGAAAACAGCGAACTCGAGACGTGTTAAATATGCGGCAGCTAGTAACTGTGAATTCATTATCCTCATGATCCTTTTTGGTCAAGGCGCGTAGGGATGAAGCCGATTAACTAGAGCAAACGACAATGTTTAGTCAAAGGACTGTATGTAGAATATTCACTTGCAGGTATTCAGGGCTTAATATTCTGCTTGCGGAGCTCAGTTATCGTTTTAAAGTGCTCAAATATTGTCACTGTAACAATCTGAGTCAGTTTCACATTGCATAGGTTCTGTATTAACAATCGTTCATGAAGCAACATTGTTGACATGCTTCGTGTAGCACAAACATGCCAATTTAGTGGTCATGTTTTGCAATAAATTCTTTCTAGATATTGAAAAATACCTGAAAGCACTTTAATTAAACAACACTTGACACAATCCACGAAACCTGTGTGCCTTAAGCTTGTTCCAAAAAAAAACAGATAAAATTCACTACAGAAATGGCTGCCATTTACCTTGTAGAAATCACTGAATCCTACCGAATCATGGTTTGAAAAAGTTGGTCAAATGTTAAAGCATTAGGTATTCTGGGGTATTATTTAGGAGCCGTATAAATCGTATAATTTTTTTAAAAGCCTCCACAACAAGGTGTCATAGCTCCATTGTGCTAATAGTATGCATGAAGATCTAGAATTAATAACATTGGCCAATCTTGTAGCATACTGAATGTGTGATTTTGTTTGAATTTCTCTTTCAGGTCAAGAGGATTATGATCGTTTAAGACCTCTATCTTATCCTCAAACAGATGTGTTTCTGGTTTGTTTTTCTGTAGTATCACCATCATCATTTGAAAATGTCAAGGAAAAGGTGAGTCAGTGGAGCATTACTCTCATATCACAATGGCAATTTCAAAACTTTGATTGGATTTTGGTCTCCTTTTGAGCCGTCAATCATCTTGGGTTTGCACAAATAAGTCTCAGAACATGCTCTGTCAGCTTTGACCATAAGTTATGGACAGTTTTTTCCACCATGCATAAGAAAGTGGAAAAAAACAAGGATCCACACCTAATTGTAACCAAGTTAATAAGATATTTAAAATATCAAACAAATGCATGTAAAATGAGAACTGCATGAGAGGGTTCTCCTGTATGGGTTCTCCTGAGGGTTCTCCACAAGTCATGTTTGAGATGCCCAGAAAGAGGTTTTACTTTAGTAGCTTAGTTCTAGTAATTTTAAATGAATTTAGCTAGCACTAAAGTTGGACGGTAGAGTGTTTCCTGGACGAAATTGTGGCCTTCAAAGATCTTCCCATGGTCCTTCTTTGCCGCCATATTTAAAAATGAAGTCTGGCCTATTCATGTCTAAGATTGTGATGGTAGCTCTTTATCTGGTGATACTATCTGGAGATGTTAGTCTTAACCCTGGACCTCATGGTGTGCCTACTAACGACAATATTGTGTCTGACTCGTCGTTTCTATCCACAACATCTAGCAGTGATGATGATTCAGTGTGAAGGAATTAGTATAGACTCGCCTGCTGATTCTGACAGATCCTATCAATCTGATGATGATGTTGGCGATTTTCATACTTATTTCAATTTGGGACTTGGTAACAAGGGTCTTCGTTTTGGTAGCTGGAATATTAATGGCCTCACAATGTCCAAATTTGATCAAATAAGACTATTTATGTTGGACAGTGACAACCGCCCGCAGATCGATATTTTGTCAATCAATGAATCTGCCCTGAAGCCTTCAATTCCTGACTCGCTTTATGCTATCCCTGGACTTACAATGCATCGTGGAGACCGCAAAGGAATTAAAAAGAAAGGGGGAGTTTTGGTGTATGTCTACGAGGAGGTGAAACACCAAAGAAGGACTGATCTCGAGGACTCGAATATTGACGCAGTTTGGTTGAAAGGTTACCCATTTAAATCTAAGCACCCAATTTTGTTTGCTGGTGTTTATCGTCCACCTTCATATTCTAAAGAAGAAGATGAAATGCTTGAAAAGAATATTGAATCTGCCTATTTACTTAACCTCGAGACAATAGTTATTGGAGACATAACGTAAACTACCTGGCTTCCTCAACTTTTAAAAAACATCATTTGGTTCTCGCACTTACTAGCATGAATTTTAAACAGCTTGTGACTCAGGTAACAAGGCCAATTAGTAAAACTTGCCTCGACCATGTTCTTACAAATCGTCCCGGGAGGATTCATTCTGTATGTGTCAGGAATTCAGGATTAGCGGATCATTTGCCAGTGTTCGCAGTTCGCTCATACAAAGGGAAAGATGGCTCCCATGCACGTGGTAATCCTTGCAGTATCACCTATCGTAACATGAAAGGATTTAATGAGACACAGTTCTTAGCAACTCTACAAGAGATCCCCTGGGACACTTCATTTATCTTTGACTCTGTAGATGATATTCTTTGCGATTGGGAGGATTTATTCAACAAAGCACTTCACAGTCACTGTCCTTGGCGGGGAAAAAAAGTAGCGCGAGAGAAACAGGCTCCCTGGATKACGAATGAAGTTTTGAGACATCTCCAGAAGAAAGATTCGTTTCTTAAAACGACCAGAGTCTCTGCTTCACTGGATGACTGGGAAAACTACAAGTCTGCAAGAAACAAAGCTACTAACTTGATTAAGACCGCGAAGTTCAAGTTCTACAACAACTGTTTTGAAAATAGCAAGGGAGATTCTAAGGGTATTTGGAAGACGATAAAATTACTAACTGGCACTAGTAATAAGTCTACCAAATCAGATGGTATTACTGCAGATGAGTTTAACTTTCATTTTTCCTCTATTGCTGATCGTTTAAGGAGCTTGTTACCCAGAATAACTTTTGACATTTCAAAACTTGAACATTTTGTTCTTTCCATAAAGGATCCTGACGTCAAATTTTCCATCCCTCCATTAACCAAAGGATTTGTCGTTGATTGTCTTCGGAATCTAAATTCTAATAAAGCAACAGGAGTTGATAAATTCAGTGCACGAGTACTGAAGATTGCTGCACCAGTCATTGTTCCATTAGTTACAAAACTTATGAACTATTCACTTAGTTCTTCTGTGTTTCCAAAGCGCTGGAAAACCGCTAAAGTGACCCCATTGTTTAAGGTGGGAGATCGTGGAGATCCCAGTAATTATCGCCCGATCTCAGTTTTACCAATCTTGTCCAAGATCGTGGAGAGACATGTGCATAACATCTTTATGATTATCTAAATGACAACAACTTGCTATACGCTTATCAGTCAGGCTTCCGCAGACAACATGGAACTGAGACTGCTCTCATCAAATTAGTTGATGAGTTGTTATTCAGTCTTGATAGAAATCGAGTGAGTGGATTAGTTCTAATCGACTACTGTAAAGCATTTGACATGGTAGACCACCAAATTCTACTGGAAAAGCTAAAGACATATAGAGTGTGTGAAAGATCAGCCCAATGATTTCAGTCTTACCTTAAACAGTCTTCACTTTAAACTTGGATTTTTGGACTGACATGCTTGGTCATCACATTTTGAACAAAATATGAAAAAAAATCCCATTTTTTATGTAAAACGAACATATCCACAATTGCTCCAAATTTGGTCATATATATCATTGTTAAATTGTATATTATTTGTAGTATGTCATATTTGTTATGAATTTGTTCTTCACAGTTATTTGAAAATGTACATCCCACCTTTAAATGTATGAATGATAGCTACATAGTATATCATTTTGTACAAAATTCAAATCCATTCATTTTTATTTTACTTCATATTTCCATTTATTTTAATATTGCACAATTGGAGGTATACACAACATAGAAAATACATATTTTGTTTGTGTACATAAGTAGGTTTAAGAAACAATGTTACATAAATTTATGTGCTGAACCTACGTTACATAAATTTATGTGCCTGAACCTACGTTACATAAATTTATGTGCCTGAACCTACGTTACATAAATTTATGTGCCTGAACCTATGTTACATAAATTTATGTGCCTGAACCTACGTTACATAAATTTATGTACCTGAACCTATGTTACATAAAGACCGAACCACATAAATTTATGTCCTCGTGGAGCTCAGACCGAACCACATAAATTTATGTCCTTGTGGAGCTCAGGCCAAACCACATAAATTTATGTCCTCATGGAGCTCAAGCCGAACCACATGTCCTTGGAGTTCAGGCCAAACCACATAAATTTATGTCCTTGTAGAGTTCAGGCCGAACCACATAAATTTATGTCCTTGTGGAGTTCAGGCCAAACCACATAAATTTATGTCCTTGTGGAGTTTAGGTACCAATGGAGTACGATATTATATAAATAGTATTATTATAATTAGGTTTTGTCCCATTTGTATTCTAAACATCAATAATTGAATAGAAAATCATTAATTTGTCCAAAAGTCTTTGTTGTGCTTGGTGTGTTCTCATGGGATCATATAAATTGTTCATTAATACCACTTTCACAATAAAATAGATCTACATTTTGTTCATTTTTTAAAGACTATTAGCAAAAAACTTAAAATAATTTGTTCCTCCCTTGTAAATGAACATTTTATCATAGTTGAAAGCCCCAGGTGTGGTAGTTTGCAATTGCAATGTACCTTTTACCAGGAACAATTTATTTTTTTCTGTCACTCTTATCTGGTTTGTACTTCTTGATGCTTGTTCACGAATAACTCAAATGAAGGCCTCCCTATTATATACACGTTATTTGTATATGTACTTGTTGATATCATTAAATTATGTACATATTTGTGTAATACTGTCTTTGTGGATATTTGTTCAAAATGTGATGACCAAGCATGTCAGTCCAAAAATCCAAGTTAAAAGCAAAGACTGTTCTTGGAGATAGACAACAGTATGTATCTATTGGTTCCAATATCTCTGCTGATGTTCCTCCTTGTGCCTCAAGGAAGTATAATCGGTCCCTTGTTGTTTATTATGTTTATAAATGACCTGCCGCTTCATATCAAGTCTGCAGATGTCAACATTGACCTATATGCAGATGACACAGCTCTTTCCTACTCTGTCGATGTCTCAAACACTGGCAAGTTATAGGAAACCTTGAACTCCACCTTGAGGGATGTAGAGGACTGGACTAATTGCAATAAGCTGCCACTCAACGAGTCAAAGACCAAGACATTGCTTGTGAATGACAAACGCCTTCAGGATAAAGTACCCTCCAACTTACTATCTATAACCACATCCAGCGGGGAAAGGCTTGAGCAAATGAACACTGTCCGATTGCTTGGCCTTGATGTCGATAGTCCGCTCTCCTTCTCAGATCATGTGGACAGAATGTGCAAGAAAATCTCACAAAGAATTGGAGTACTGAATAAGATAAAATCCTGCCTACCCATAAAACAACGGTTGGCTTACTATAATGCTATGATAAAACCAGTGTTTAGTTATGCTAGCGTTGTTTGGCAAACATCATGTACTAAAGACTGTCTGTTAAGGATTCTGCGCCTACAGAAAAGAGCAGCAAGAGCCATACTTATTGCTGAGTAAAGAGCACCTTCAGTACCGTTATTTAATAAATTGGAGTGGCTGCCTTTCTTCATAGATACTTGTATCTCAAAGTTTACATTACTATATAAGAGAAAACAGCATGCTGTACCTAAGTACCTGATAGAGGCTCTAAAACTGAACAGTTCTGTACATTCTAGGAACACTAGATTCTCAAGCTTAAATTTTATTACACCACACTATAATGAGAAGACTGAAGGAGGAAGAACATTCATAGCTAGCGCCATATAGATATGAAACAATTTAAGTGCGGACATTAAAAAACAAGCAACAGTTCAATCGTTTAAACGCTCTCTTTGCCGGAAATTTATTTTATTATATTATTTTTCTTTCCGTGAGGGTCACATGATAAAATGCTTATTGAATTAGTTAGGTCGGGCTGTACAGGAAAATATTTGGCTCTCAGTCATTTGTATGGAACTAGCTGCGCTCGGTCCGTACGGCATCACCTCGAGCCAAATATTTTCCTGTACAGCCCTCTTACTCAGTCAATAAGTACATAGTATATATCATTTGAAATTGTTTGTTATTATTTCCTAGCTATGTGAAAGGAATACTACTAGTATTGGTTTACAGTCATGACGCCCCCTTGTCGTGATACCCCCAGTCTGTACTACCATGACGCCCCTAGTCTCTATTAACACTTATTTAATAAGAAGTTTAACCATAATAATATGGCGCTATGAACCCATGTAAATTGATCACTATTGGAGTTGTTTCACGATTATTTAAATAAATTGTTTCTACGCTTCGCCTGTCCACGAGTTAAAAACGATACCTACAACCTGGGGAACACTAAATCTCTGTTAGTAGTTAAGTCAGTTAAGTGATGTACTTCTTGAATTTTGTCATTAATAATTAGTTCCAGAACATGATATAGCTGAATTAGGAGTTAAAGAACATCATTCAGAGAGCATTAGGAATCCAACCATAATTCTTAGACATGTTCATCGATTAAAACTTTTATTTTGTGCAATCAAGTCACGCTGTTGTTACGAAGCACCCTCAACACGGCCCGTGATCAACATTTTAGAATGCCTTTATCGGCACGAGAAACCTATAAAAAATTCTTGATATTTAAAGAACATTTCTGTGCAATTGGAGTTCTAGAACATCATTTCACAAAGAACATTAAAAGTTTTTTGTAAGGATTGCTTTTGAGACGCGCACCTTTGTGTTTCAAACTCTTTTGTCATTTACACAAATGGATAAATATGTCTATTTCGATAGCTTTTTCAAGTGATTTCAGCAATAGCTGGGAAAGACAAAATATTTCTTCAAGGCATCTGTTTACAAAAAAGGTTTTGAAATTACGAATGGAAAGTCGAATAAACTCAACCTCGGAAGTAAATTAGACAGTGAGTTGACGAATCGAAAGTGACACCTTGCTGTATTACAAAAGCGATGCATCACGTCAATGTATCACGTTTGTATTTAGATTACAGTAATATCATAGTTAACTATGATAATACAGYATGCTCTTTTGATTTATTTTTCGTTTTGTAGCTCCAGAATATCATTTTAATATGAACTCTGAAATTCCTCTGTAATGATTGTTTTTGAGACATGGTTTCTGTTTCGCATCACCAAGCGAAGACTTCAAACACGGAGGAGTTGTGTGACAGCAACAGTGTAACGACTTGTCAATTGAACATGGCAAACTACCGGATTTATGTGAGCAACCTTTGCTTGTTTTCCAAAGTATTTATCATAAACACACATGTTTCTCCTACAAGAAAGTTTATATGAATAAGGAGGCTATTAAAGTAGAAGAAATGTTACGAATGAGTCAAAAACTCTAGACGCGAATGAGTTGCTGTGACGACATACCCAGCAGTGAAAAGACCGTAAAGTGAAAACAGCAAACTACCTGATTTTCGTAAGAAATCTTTGCTGATTTACCAAAATATTTAGCAAAAACTCATGTTTCCAAAAATAACGAATGAGTCAAAAACTTCCTATGCCAAAGAATTATTAGGTTATAAGTCTGCGAACTACAACTGCTGAAAACAACTCGTTCGTTCGTGCATTGTTAATGGTTGTAAAAAAGGTTTTGATTCTTTCGCAATGTTTTTCTTACTTTTGTGGTATATTTTCAGTGTCAAACTTTTTGGACAGAACTTACATGTATGCGTAAGCGAAACAATAATAGGAAAGATCACTAGCGTTCTTACAGCAACTATGGCGTACTAACTTGAATTATGAATAATTTATTGGACTTACGAAATTTTGTTGTCAACTTTTTCCTTTTCATTATTTTTTGTCGTTCTTGGATTTATACTATGAAATATTGTTAAACTTCTTATTAAATAAGTGTTAATAGAGACTAGGGGCATCATGGTAGTACAGACTGGGGGCGTCATGACCGTAAACCAATACTAGTAGTATTTCTTGACAGATTTCTATAAAATATTCGCTTCATGTTCCCAACTCTCAGTTTCCTTCAACATAGATTACAGTATATATCTCCAAGAGTATTTGAATGTCATTCAAATTTTGCAGTGTACTTGTATTCAAAATATGTGACATGAAAATATGTAAACTATGGTCACTTTGGCAACTTCCTGGTAACCAGGCCCTTAAGAACGATTCTAGGCTTTCAGCGATTGCTCTCTTATTTTTTTTACCACAATAGATATTTCAACCTCTCCTCATTCTATACCATGGTAGAAATGTCAAAAAGTTCAATTTTAGTTAGGGGTAACCTGGAATTTTCCCTGCTAGCAGAGCCTATTTTCCTTTTGTTTTGGTTGAGAAACAGAAGAGAGACTCTGCTAGCAGGGAACCTGGAACTGAGACTGTTGTTATGGCAGCTTATCTCTATGGTTAATTTTGAAGAACAGCTGGATTGCTGAAATACTACTAACTTTGGTTCTGATCAAAATTGGTCTGAGATGTAAATGATCTTAAGCTGCTCAAGTATTGAGAATATTACATAATCAAGAATTAAACTGCAGAGTGGCATACTCGTGGTTACCCGCGTTTCTCTGAAGGTTTTACTTAGAGTTTGTAATATGGATTATTTTTGAAAATACTAAAATAAATGCTACTACCTTTTAAAGCCATCAAAATATTCCAAATCGGCTGGAATTTAGTACAGAACAAGATAAAAAGAAAAAGAAAAAAGGAAAAAAAAGCATGGTGAGATGGCTTTAAAAGGTTGCATTCCATCAATGAGGGAATTCAATCAATGCTTATATTATGTTCCCTTTTGAAGACTTGTAGGTCAAAAGATTCTTGGAAAAAGCAATCTTTAACAAAATTAATTCAATTTATCTATAAATTTGCTTTAGAACTCAAAAAATATCAAGTTAATAGCTCATCTTATCAGTTATATTGAGCATTTAACCCTTTGACTCCTACGACGCCCGAAACCGCCCGTAACAAAAACCGTCCGTATTTCCTACGACGCCCGAAACCGCCCGAAAAAAGGACGCGCCAGAAAAAAAATTCCCCCTCCCCCCCATAGGCTTTTTGTTTGTTTTTATCGCCATAACAATAAACGTCATTAATTAACCAATCAGA